ATGTCTAACCTCTAAAATGCAGCCAGTTTCAGATGTCAAAATAAATTACACCTACAACTAACGTCATCTAACTGTGAGCCGCAGGAACTAAGTTTACCACCTAATATTATGAAAATAATAGTAGTATAGTATTTTATTCAACCAAATATTGTTTTTAAAACTGTTTGGAAGACAATACTATAATTTCTCTTATTAAATTTTTTATTTAACTTAATTTTATGATTATTATTTCTCTCAAATTTTAACGGATTAAATTTTGTTATCAAAGAGGAAACATCCTGTAATTTAAATTTTTGGATTTGGCAACTCTACCCCAACATGTACTTTCCCAAACAGCACAATGTCCAAAATCGGGTCATAAGACGTCTTATGACCCGATTTTGGACATTTGTGCTATCTGGGTTATTTTAGTATTTACTTTGAGAGGAATAATGGGTACAAAATCGCGGAATGGTTCTTTTAGTACACAAATACTTTTCCCTGAATTTCATAGAAATCGGAATAATATTACAGTTAAGAGATAGAAAATAACTAATTTGATAATATCAAAATAAATTTTCGAGCTTCTCGAAATTTTCTATTAATATTCTCCATCGTGGCCGAATCAAGTTAAGCGATTAAGTTGGAATGAAATTTCTTGCAAGTGTATTATATACTTTTTCTAGTAATAGATGCAATTTTCTTTCATAAAATGATTGAAATAGAGCATATGGGTGGACGAAGCAAAATTGGCCCATAATTAAAGGCCGGCAGGAGGGCTGTGGAGACCTTACGCGGAAACTCTGGAACTACTAATCAGAATATATATTTTATACCTTCTTCTTTACCCTGTGCTACTAGACAATTAAAGCCAGTACCAAGGCAAGATGTTGCTACATGTTCGTGTTTTGGTTATTACAAAACAAAATATACGGTTAATAGGATCGTGGCAGGTATTAATACATAAGAAAAAGTTGTCTCTATCATGTATATACAGTTCGTCACAACAATTAGTTGTCTGAGAAGTTGTAACTTCAGAATTCTAAAATATAGGGCATTTAGCCTTAAATTGCATTCTCGCGTGATCTCCGACACAAGGGCACATATTCTGATCCCTCTTTTATGGATAAAAGTGTCTTGAATGTAGCTTCTCAACCTATCAGGTGGCTCCTAAGCCTCTTTTAGAGGCATTTTTATAGATAAAAAAATTGAGAGTATATATATATATATATATATGTGTGTGTGTGTGTGTGTGTGTATGTGTGTGTATGTGGGCCAAGGTGAAGTCACGGCGAAATTCGAGACAGCAGTACATACCTAGATGATTACACAACAGCTCGTGAGTCTCGAGGTCGGGGTAGTCGAAAGTGTCCCTGCAAAAGAGCACCCTGGTGCCGGGCGTCGCGGTGAAGCCACCTAGCGCGGCCGCGATGGACGAGCACAGCCAGGAAGGCTCGGCGCCCTCGAGTCTACGCAGGAGTGCCCGGTAACGGCAGTACCTGGGATACGAGAGCACCACAACCTTGGTCTGGAAGCCGCAGTCCGATCTCCTCATGGAATTCAGGTTGCTCTCATATTCCTTCTGCTGCTTGTCAACGTCCGAGAAGTCGATCCCCGGATCGGTGAGCACTTGCGGTTGTGGCATCTCGTATCGCAGCGGACTCGTCTCCGGAGACGATATCGGGCTCGTCGGGTAGTACACTTCTCGGCCCCATGACCACTCCAACGTAGGCGACAGCCACGTGACAAGATCGTGCACACGGACAACCACCTTCTCCGAAATCGTCAGCACCTCGTCCTGCAATGAGAAAACGTATCTCGGTGTAGCACGAACGTGCGGAGGTAAATGCGTTACAAGTTATTTGGAAAATTCATATCTTTCTCATCAATGAGTTAGAAAATTGTCATTTGAAAATTCACATTTGTATAATTGGTATTCGCACGATTATCACTTAGAAAAGTGATATTCTTTTCATCAATGAATCACATTTGAGCAAGTTAAACCACAGTGCAGATTCTACTAAACGAATGTCGCTGCCGCGTAAAGAAAACTTTCTTAGACAAAAATTTGTCACGTATCATTTTAAATCAGATTTAGGCGTCTAGGTGTAGACAACGTGAACTATACATGAGACGTCATCTGTGTAGACAATGAGTAATCATTGAGAACTTACGGTTTTCTGAAAAATCAATGAAGAAAAATTTCTATTTTCAATTAACCCTTTTTTTAGAGTTCTGATGTAAAAATTTATGATTATATTGTTCCCTAAAAAAGTTGTAACTCACAGAATTCTCCGGTTATATTCTTATCTACAGAGAGTCAAGTCTATCAATCTGTCGCGTAATAAAATGAAAATTTCATGCAATTTTGGTCTCTCTTTTCAGCATTACATTTAAAATTATTATTTGAAACAGATATGATAACTGTTTCATAATTTAATTATTATCTTCCTCTCTCTCTCGTATATTTTAATATAATTTATAATATTCCATATAATTTATATGATCTATATGAGAGACGACCGTGCATACATCGTATGTAAAAAATACGCAAGTAATTAGCGTAAACGTGAGAGATCTCTCTCTACGGCGATATTATTTAAATCTCAATTTAAATAATATTCGGTCGAACAGTCGACAGGGAAGGCCTTCGCGAGGAAAGCGGTCGATTTTCGTTCTTATCACGCGAGCGGGGTAAATTGACGCTTCGCGCACAAGCAGGTCGCGTATTTAGCGCGCAAGGGGAACTCGCGCGGTGGTAACTCCGGGTGGAAATCACGGAAGATTTTCCCAGCAGGACTCCCGTTTACCTACGCGAGCAACACGCGTACTCGACGCACGTTTACCGACTTCAGTTCGAGAGGTAGCGACTCTACGTGAGAACGCCGGGCACTTCTGTGAGCGCGCGTGCTCTCCGCGCGGATCCAAACCCGTTCGCGCGACATAGAGTGTGTTGTAATACTGTTTTCCCTACCCATGACTACCGCCGAGGAGAGACGCGGACGTTATATGTATACACATATAACCCACGCGACATAACCCGGTGGTTTATGCTGCACCTCGAGTGCATCGTTATCTACTTCGTGTTCACGATAATTTAATTGTTCACCGGCGCTCGCCGGCGAAATGACGTCATTTTCGCCAAATTTGACTTACTACATGCCCTCGGTGTGCATCTCTTTCTCTCTCTCTTTCCCTCCCTCCATTTTCCGCATTAATCGCATAAATTATTATCGTCCATTCGAGCAGAGTTCAAACGTTTACGCAACTCCGGCGGTATCGTGCGTACAACAAATGATGTGATTCCGTGTTGCACACGGATAAATTCACTTAATTAACGATGCGTCTATTTATGTAAATCGTTTGATATACGCGCGAACGGAAGTAACGGTTATAAGTGTAATTACATCTCGCGTACTCATTATAAAGGAACGTTTTACCTCCGTCCTACCTTCCCCCCCCTCTCTCTCTCTCTCTCTCAATAGCGATGGTAACAGTTATACGGATAATTTTTGTTCTTTTTCTGATCCTTTCCTGCCTGCGACAGGCACGATAGTAATTAATAATTATACGGGTAATTACGCGCAGCCAGGTCCGTCGAAATCTCGTGGTTTCGCAACGCAACGGAACGAAAACAATTTTCTCTCCGCTGTTTCCGGAGGCTCCTCTCTTTCTCCGTAGCCATCGACGATATATAATCCGATAAATTTTCCGCGCGGCTGAAAATCCGCGCCCGTAAGGCGGACACGCTCTTTTCGATAATTGCGCAACGCGCCAACGGAAGTGTGATTTACCTTGTATACGCTCGTGGCGACTTTACACGGCGGATAGCGGAAGATGATTTATTGGCGTTGCAATATCTATCGGGCCGAAGTTCGGAAACGACTTTATTTATACGTGACATAATGTTCTATTTGGCTTGGGAGCCACTGTTGCCCGGGTTATACTTTCATCTTTTAGCTCACTCTCTCTTCTTCTTCTCTCTCTCTCTCTCTCTCTCTCTCTCTCTCTCTCTCGGTGTGCTTGTCCGTATTCCCTAACCCCGGCCACACAACCCCCTTCGCTCCGTTCCTCCCGCTCTCACCCACCCTCCCTCATCCGAGAGTTCTTCCAATAGTAGTTTCCCTTCTACTATAACCTTTCTACCGGTCGGCTTCTGTCGTCTCACTCCATCGTCATCCTCCCTTTCGTTCTCTCCACCTCAACCCCTTTCTCGCTCCCCGTCTTTGTCTCTCACCCCGCCTTACCCTCCTCGTCCCTCCTGTTCCAGCATGCTCAACCCCCTCCCCCCTCTGTCCCGCCATATACGCCTCATTCCGTCGTCCCCACTTATTCGCTCACTGTGTTTCTCCCCGACGTGTGTTTCCCGTCTCGTTCCCACTCAACCACCGACGCTAGCGATGGGCCCGATCCAATTCCCGAGCTGTAATTTTCAATCGATTCGCGAGTGGCTCTCTGTTTCTCCCTCTTCCTCCCTCTCTCTCTCTCTCTCTCTCTCTCTCTCTCTCTCTCTCTCTCTCTCGCGTTTT